GAAATAAGTGTATTTAGCATGGCCAATGACTTATAAAACCATAACACCATTCCTGTGCTTAATGCAGCACCTGTAAGAGAGAGAGGAGGTGACAAGGGAGGGATACATGTGAAAAGACAAAGTGACTTTGAATGCAGCTAGCTCACTTATGAGACACCAGATCTGGGTAGGTTCTCCACTCTGGGGTTCTGAATGCCTTCCCTGATCTTCGGTGGACTACACCCAGAGCCAGTTGCAGTGGCAACATTCAGCATACATTTGCTGAGTGCCTGATCTGTGCCTGGCCTCATGTCAGAGTTTACCAGACCCAATCTCTGCCAGCCAGGAGCCTTAGTTGGAGGCTGTGGTTCTCAAAAAGAGCATCATGTCCACTCAAAGGCAACAACGATTCTATGTAGGGGGTTGTCATTTCTCAAGTTGGGGTCTGAGCAAGAAATTATTCTTTGCCCCCCAAAGAGCATAACCTCTTCCCCCAACTCTGTTCATCACCAGGCCAGGAGGAACACAGTAGGTGCACCCTCACTAATTGTCAGAGTTAGGAATTGGATCCCAGAGTGCCTTTGCCCCACTATTACAGAATAACTTTATGGGGGGGGGTGTTTCTAGGTGTGTAAGAAAGGCAAGCACATACATATGCAATCTTGTCACTGCACTTTATTTAGTAAACCATTTATTTTTCATAGATAAAGCTAATTATAGGAAATTTCCAGTGAATACTTCTAGATGCTGGAATCTCACTTCCCAAGGAACTCAACAGTGATTTTCTGAAGGAGTACTGGACAGTTTGCTTTTTTGCATCTCTATTTACCCACCGGTGAAGCTGGCAAAGGTCAGCCTACTGTGTCTCACCAGCAAAGAGGCCAAAAACCAGATTAACTAAGAGACACTATTCCTGACCTTCAGGACAGGATATCTAATAAGAGTAACTACCATCTACCCGGGCAACTAGATCCTGGGTCAAGGACGGTCAGAGCTACCTCTAGTCTTTAACAACAGCCTTGCCTGGTGGTATTATTGCTACATGTAAAAGGAGCAGGCAGTGACTGGCCCAAGATCACACAACTCATAACAACAGAGCTAAGGTCTTCTGGTCTGAAGCCTATGTTGTTGTCATCTTCTCAGTCTACTACCTTTCGGCAACACCGGAGACCATACACAGTTCACCAGAGAAGTCAATCATCTTAATTATTATTATTATTTTTGCTCTTGGAGAGGTTTTGTTTGCTGGTAGCAAAAGAAAACAACTGGTTTTTGCTGGAAACCTTGTTTCCTGGAAGCCTTGGAAACATCCTGGAGGTACTTGGTGGCCCTGTGACTGGCCTACTCCCTAGGCCACTTCTGCAAGGCATGGTTAAACTGGATCAAGATGGGAGCTGAACATCTGGATCAGCAGGTTTGGAAGCCAGGAGGCAAAGCTTAGGGACATATCTCCTTTCAGAAGGTCTTCTGGAGCGTCACCCTCCCATCTCTGCAAGGATCCTGTAGAGAACAGCTGGACAGGCCTGGAAGAACGGACAGGTGCAGTGGTCAGCACCAATTTGAACACAGACTGTGAACTGCATGACCTTAGCCTCCCTTCCCACCTTTACTCTCAACTCCTACTCCTCAATCTAGGTGCTCAGATGTCCCGATTGGAACAAGTTCTCAAACAATACTGTTGTGTCTTTCTCTTTCTGTCTCTGTTTCTCCCTCTGTCCCCATCTCTCCAACTCTCAACTTTTGTTGACTTCATCTTTGAGGCAGAATCTTTCACATGGTGGGCACACTGGCCGCTGGTGATTCTAGATCTACGTCCTCCCATATTAGCAACTCTGGGGGAAAGAGGAACTTCTGTGTCCTACAAGCACACATCCCTTCAAGCCCAGGGAAGGCTCTTATTGGCTCTGTTTGGGTCATGTGCTCATCTTTGAGCCAATTGTTATGGCTGCAGTGAATGTCTTACCTGCGCTATGTACACATGGTGCAAGGGATAAGACTATCTCAAGCAACCCCAAACAAGGAAGGAATTCCTAAAGAAAGTAGGACAATTAGCTGGGCAGGCCAAATTTATAGCATTTGCCATCTACTATATAGCCACCATTTATAGAATCACTTCTAATATTCCAGGAGCTTTTATAGATATTGTTATTTCCACAATAATTTAAAGAGTGTAATTTACCTTCCCTTACCCTCCACCATATTACAGATGAGGCTTGAACAATTTAAATAATGTAGCCAAGAATGGAAAAGTGGTAAATGGAGAAGATGACTTCTGACTCCAGGTCTGTCTCACAATATCATGGTGGTGGCATTTTACATGTACGAGGGAGTGAGGAAAATTTGTCAGAGGGCCCTTGTTGGACACCATGTCACACATATGCTGTCCTAAAATAACATTTCTAGAAAGACCAATCCTCTCTGGTTCTGCCTGTAGATTCTCCTGGATCTCCCTTCTCTAAGAGATGAGGCCCGCGGGCCCAGGATAGAGGTGTGAAGCTGGTCTGTTCTGGTTTTGAAGATGGCTAGATGCTAAGTGATGTCAGCTGTGTGTCTTCTGGGTAGACCTGTGTTCTCCAAGTCTCCACCTATAAAAGAATGGCAAAAAGTCCTACTGCTGTCAAACAAAGAATTATTCTGATGGTCAAAAAAGTATAAACAAAAAGATCTTGCTCTGTAAGACAGAATGATGATTATGATGATGATAGTAGTCATAGTGCCAGCTCAGAGCCTCTTACTCAATTCTTGAAGGATAGAAGGAAAACATGGGGTGGTGCTCTTTTCTCTCCGAGGGAAACAAATACTGCCCATTCGCTTGTCTGAGTTTTTCATGGTTTGAAAAATCACTTTCCCAGACTTCACAGTTCAGACACAGAGGTGGACAGGCACAGCACACACTCTGTGCTTTCTCTTTCTACTCTGCCACATTGTGGTAGCCCGAGTAGAGTCTCAGGGGACAGTTTCCTCATTTTAATGCAAATATTTGTATTTTTAATGGCATTTATTTCTGATTACAAAAATAGTACATGTGCAAAATTTGGAAAATAAAAAGAAGAAAAAAAAACCTCTTGCCCTGAACTGTTTCACCCAGAGATAACAACCACATCTCGACAGCAGTTGGCACTACACTGTTATGCAATTTAATATCTCGCTTTATTGTTGACAACACACTTCCCAATCATGAAAAACTGCATGAGCATTATCGTTTTGGTAAACATCTTATGTATAGCTATACTGTAGTTTAGTTAATTACAGGTAGTAATAGGCCTTTTGCAGGTGTCTGGAGGGGGTGGGGATGGACAGGAGGCCCGGTGGTCTCCACTGTGGAGAGCCAGAGGGGTGCAGTGCTGGGAGGCTGGGATGTTGAAGGGGAAGAAGGAAAGATAGGCTGATAATTTGCTGGACATTTCCTTGTCTGGTCATTTCTTTCTGTCTTGACAGTTGAGAACACTGCTAGGCACCAGGATCCCTCCCTGTTCTCCTGTCAATGTTGACTTCAGGTCTTCAGATCACCCTTTCAAAGAGCCTCAATCCCTCCCAGACTCCCCATCCCCTCCCCACATAGGGAAGTACCCCAAGAAAAGACTTTATTTCACCCACTGCTGTTTCTGCAGCATGAGCCCAGGGCTGGTACTTAGTAGGTGCTCAGAAATGCTTGCAGACTGAGGGAGTGAGTGAACACGAATAACAATAGTAGTATAGCTCACATTTGTATGTTTTCAGTTCTGTACAAATTATAATGAACGTGATGAACATCTGTGTGATTAAAAAAATTTTGAATTATTTTTTGACTTGAGATTCTAGTGTTGAAGAATATGGATATTTTGATGATTCTTAATACATATTACAAGATTGCTTTCCAGAAATTCTTTAAAGGTTACACTCTCGGAAGCAGTAGTGAGTGTCTATCTCTCTGCTTTTAAGTAAAGTATTTGAAGAAATGATTTGCTGAGTTGATGAAAGTGGATTTAGAAATGGTATCTCATTGATTTAATGAACGTTTTTATTTCTGGAAAGATTGAACTTTTAAAACCTATTTATTGGGAATTTAAATCTTCAATTTTGTGAATTGTACATTGTATCATCCACTCATTTGTATAGTGGGATCTTAATGTTTTTCTTATGAATTATAAGAGTTCTAATTTCTTTTGAAATATATTTCAAAAATATTTCCCTAGTTTCTCATGCTTTAATTTTTTATGTTAAATTTCTTTTCAAAATGGAAATGGCTTCCCCCCCCAAAGTAAAAACAATGGGCTACCACAAACAAACAAACAAACAAACAAACAAACAAACCCAGACACAATAGAAAATTGTAAAGAAAGTAAAAATCTCCTACATTCCTATCCCTTGGCATTTCCTTCCAAACTTTTATTTTATGTATTGATGGTATTTTTTGAAGTTGAAAAAGTTTTAATTTTTATATACCGCCAAAGTAGCATTTTTTATTTCAATGCTTTTGTGCTTAGAAGTCTTTCTAATCTAGAGATCAAATAAAGAATTACCTTCTGTAAAAACAGAGCTGTGTATGTGTTTTAGTTATGAAGGCAATATAGAATAATACAGAATATTTAGGAAATTAAGAGGAAAAAAATCAGCCACAATGCTTTGACCTTGACACATCTATCTCTTTTATGCCTGGTTCTTTTGAATCTTTGGTCATGAACATTTATATTTATTTTTATGTGGTCGCAAGGATAGTGCATGCAGAATGTCCTATCTTCTTTTCACTCATAATTATACTGTAAACTGTATTTTCATGTTGCTACACAATCTTTGTAATGGTTGTTTAAAATGATCCCCTAATGGTCCCTGTGCCTTCTAGCTGACTCTATCCTGATAACCATTTTAGTTGCTTCCAATTTTTTGTCAAGTGATATTTCAAAATACCAAAGTCCAGCGCAGCAGACTCCCACTGTTCTCGGGGGCTGACTGTAATAGGATTTGACTTCTGCTCATTTCCTCTTTTCCTCAAAGGAGTGCTGGAAGTAATTGCTCTTAGAGAATGGTTAGAAAAATGACAAACAAAATGAGGAGGAGAGAGACTGTGAGGTGAAAGCATGTTGAGCTTTTAGGAGAAAGCTTCTTTAAAACTCAGGCTGTGCTATTTAGGTTTTGTTTTTGTAACTCATGAATTGGGCATGAGTTTATAATAATTTTGACAAAATGCTTTTCTTTCCAGCTTTTTTTCTGGGAAGCAGTTCAATGTATCACCTGAGGGTTTTAGAACAGGAGGGCCTAGGTCTAGATCTCTGCTTCTCTGTTGTGACCTTTAGCAGCTGCAAAGCCTCAGTCTATCTTTCTGCAAAATAGGAATAATAATAGGCCAGGAGGGAGGGCTGTTTAAGATCTTCAAATATAGGTGCTGAGCAGTTGGGAAGAACCAGGAATAGTTAGAGAGACTGCAGGGGAGTCTAGCAGGTGGAGAGAAGAAGGAATCCAGGCTGAAACTCTTCTTCCTAGACCTGTATCTCCAATCCTATAGGGGGCTTGGGTTATGGTCTGCAAGAGCCCTTCCTGCTCCCAGGGACCCCTGCCTTGGCTCCTGTAGATACACTGACAGGTCTAGTCCTCCTCCTTCTCAGGAAGGCCTCAAGGACTCACTCTTCTCTCCATTCAATTCAGCCCACAATCCTTGAGAAACCTAAGGCAGCAAAGAGCTGCGGCATCCTTCCATTTTAGTTGGGGAGGGGTGTGGGTGGGATTAGTAGACTCGATATATATTTATTCATGTTGAATAAGTGTCATTGGTCTGTTGGCAAAGCTGGTTAGCAGTAACCTTATCTTCTCTTTAAATAATGATCGTTAACCATTTTTTTTCCAGCAAGCAAGAGGGGACACGCAGGATATAGTGGTTGAGAGCCTGGGATATAGAGTCAGATACCTGGTTCCAAGCCTCTCTGTGCCTCGTTCATAAAATGGGAATAATAATTCTATTATTCTATTAAAATGCATTTTAATAATAGCACCTACCTCATAAGGCCGTCATGGAGACTGAATAAGGCCTGTCGAGGAGGCACCTAGCAGACTGCAAGCACATAGTGAGCCCTCAGTAATGTCAAGTTGTTGTTAAAATCGTAATGATTATAAGCAAACTTGAAGGCTGAGTGCCTGGTTAGCATGGGACTAAGGGACTAGGCTCCAGGGACAGAGATGTGAACCTGTCCCAGAGGCGCTCAGATAACCCAGGTGGAGACCGGTGAGTCTGCAGGACCCGAGGAGGCCAAGAGTCTAGTGCCCGGCCAAAGTAGCCCCGGGAAAGAGAGGGGGTTCCTGGATTCCAGGGAGGTGCACCAATGACCGCACGTTCTCTCTGCTTTTTTAAAGCACTCTTCTCCTCCATCTGTCCTCCTTTCCTGGGCTGCGGGAGGTGACTACTCAGAAGGAGAACCGGGCTCGTGGCGGCGCGGGATCCAGAACTAGCGTATTAGTCTCCGCCCCGAGGCGGTGTCACTAGAACGTCTCCGGAGTCCCGCTCGCCGAAACCCCCCGCGCACGTGCTCGCTGCTCCCTCCCTAAGCGCCTCGCTGTTCCCGCGCCGGAGGGGCCCTTTAAAAGGCAGTGTCTTGTCCGGCGGGGCGGGTGGGGGTGCTGACCGCAGCCGCAGGCTCGGCCTTTCCCCTCCCCCCTCCCTCTGTCCGTCCCTCCCTCGGTCCCCGCGTCGCTCGCTCGCTCGCCCGGCGCACGCTCCGCCTCCGTCAGTCGACTCGGCTATCTAGTGCGCGGCGTGGAGCCGGACCGGGGCCCGCAGCCGGGGCTGGAAGCTCGGTGCCAGCCACCGGGCGCGGCCCAGGGCACAATGGCAGAGATGGGCAGCAAGGGGGTGACGGCGGGAAAGATTGCCAGCAACGTGCAGAAGAAGCTTACCCGCGCGCAGGAGAAGGTGAGCGAACCGGAGACCCGGCAGCCCGGTGGACCCGGACAGCTGCCCCAATCCCGCACCGGAGTCTGGTGCTGTCATCTCTGGACGACCGCTGCCGAGGGCCTTCGGAGGTCCTTGGGCTGCGCGCTCGGAGCTCTGAGCGCCCTCTCCGATCCGCGTCATCTGCCCCCCACCCCCCCGCCCCAACCCGCACCGCGGCGGGGCAGAAGAGCGCGCAGCTGTCCTCCCCCTCCCCCCGCGGGGCTACTTCGTATCTTCGCCGCACCTCTGCAGAGGAGCGGCCCACGCTCTCCTCGGGCGCTTGAGGTCCAGGCTAACTGTGTCCTAGAGGCCGAAGGCCAGGAGGATTGGGACGAATTGGCGCCTCCGGCCGTCCAGGTCCCCGCGGGCCCTGCAGGCCGGCGGCGCGCGGAGAGCGGCCTGCCCCTTGTTCCTGGGGCCGCCTTGCTTGGGGAATCCCGAGGCTGCCCCTCGGCCCGGGCGCCCGCACGTTTGCTGCAGGTCTCTGGGCGCTGCTGGCGGCAGCCGTGCCCTCCTCTCGCCAGCCTCCATTTCCCCGCCGGCCGCGAGAGGATTGAGTTTCCTTTCCCGAAGGGTGCTAGCGGCCTGGAAGCTCCAGGGAGCAGAGCTTCGCACCCCTCGGGGGCTTCGCGTTTCCGGCGGCGGGGGAGGGGTGGTGGCCCCGGCTTTGGGGAGGGGATGCAGGCTGCAGGGGCGTGGAGGGCGCCGCGGGAAACGTGAGCCGGAGCTCCCAAAGCAGCTAGCCGCCGGCGGGGGATGGAGCCCGGCTTCCCGCGGTGCCCTGGCTGTTCAGGAGACGCAAGACTGGGGTGGGGGTTCGCACCGGCTCGGCGTTCTATCCTAAGCCACCTCTGGTTTATTGCATTGGATCACGCCAGCTGCTGACGCCACTTCCCCTACCCACTCGGACTCTGAAATCTGAGATTGCAGAATCTAGGCTGCCGGGGTGGCCCCCAGTCCTCCCCTCGCAAGTTGTGCCCCCCAACTCCGTCCTCTGCCTTCCCCTTACCCCCGCCCGCGGAACGCGCGGCAGAGTGGGACCCCAGGGACCGCAGGCCTTCCCTTGCTAGGATTGTGGCTGTTTATAAACAATGACTTTTGCAGCTGGGACCTGGGGGCTCCCTAAGGATGCAGTCACGTGATGGAGAGGGTGCATCGGCTAGAGCTTCCCCACGCCTCCTTCAGTTAGAGTCCTGATGCTCATCCTGGTGGTCCCGGGCTGAGGAGGTGGGTGGCTGGGCCCTCAGCCAAGCTGCAGATCTGGCCTGCCCCAGCTGTCCTCTCCAACCCCCACAGTGGGAGGACGGATTACAGCCCCATAGATAGGCAGCGGGGTGCTGGGAAGGCTTCTGTTTACCAGGTTGGTGGGGGGCAGATCTGCTGCCTTCTCCCCCACATTACTCCCCTCCAGTGACGGGGGTAATCCATTTAGGTGCCTGGAGCCAGCAGCTCCGGGTCTAAGCCTGCTTCCTGTTCCTAAGGGGCCAGAAGATGAATGGGAAGCAGAGGGTTAGCTGAGACAGGTCCCTGCCCCCACTCCAAGGAGGTCCTACTCCCTGACTCCCCTTTGCTCTTGCAGTGTCCCTTTTTCCCTGGTTGCCTTGTCACTGCAACAGCATCTTTCAGTAATTATAGGGGCAGTAGGCCTGGGCTATGTCTCTTCCATGTAAGTGGCAATATGTATGTCATCGTTGACCCCACTGAGCTGCCCCCCCCCACCCCGTCCACTCTTCAGCTCCTGTTCTGTGGCCTCAGGCAGTTGGCTGACAGCTGGTCAGCTGTGGATGCTGGCCTTGCACAAGGGCTGTCCCTATCCAAGCCTTGGCTTCATGGAACTGGAGCAGCTTAGTGCTGCTGGTGAGGCACTGGTTAGGAGACCATCCCCCATCAGAAGCCAGAGCAGCACAACAGGTTTCCTGGCTATCTCAGAAGGCAGCTTTCCTTTTGTCCCCTCCCTTGTTGGCCTAGCTGAGTACCCCTTCCCAGGAAGTCTGATGCCTCAACCCACAGGGACCTCTCCCCTTTCCCCTCCTGCAGCTCAGAGTCACAGCCTGGGTGCTGTGACCTGGCTCCCTCCCAGCACTTTCTGGTGGTATCAGGACCGCATACAGTGGTCTCACAGGCACGCCTGCCCCCCCCCCACCTGCCCCTGTCAAATCAGTGAGTAACCAAGCGATTCCAGTTATCTAGTTGCCATAGGAAGGCATTTCTTGAGCAGGGCCAAGCCGTGGCTCAGTCTGTCAGGAATCAGAGGGCGACAGTGTGGTCAAAGAAAGCTTGCTCTCTGGTGCCTATGGAACCAGCCCTCCTGTCCCCCAGCTCAGTGTGTCTCTCTATGGGTCCTGGCTTGGGAAACCCATCCACCTGCTTGCCTCTACCACTGCTCTGGGTGCTCCCTGAGGGATGGGGCATTCACCAGGTCCCCACAGGTGCCTGAGTGACTGTTTATGAATGAACAAGGGCATTTGGGGGTTTGGCTTGGGAGCCCTTACTTTGGCCTGTTGGTGGGCTGATTCATGATGTGTGCTCCTTTGCTTTCCCTTCTTCAGCAAATCCTGCCTGGATATATGTCCTGTGCCTGATCCTGGGCTGAGCCCAGGGCAGTGGGTAGCGGGGTGCTTGTGGGTCTGGCTGGCGTGGAGCTATGGTTGTAATGTACTCTGGCCTCTGGGCCTGGTGTGGGGAGGACAGGAGAATATATGGGAAGGGTCTCCAGGGTCTGCCCGCCAGCATGGTACCATTGCTGCTCACTTCCCAGTTCCCAGCTGCCTCCAGAGTGCCTGGAGTACAGAGTGTATGCCTGGAGCTCAGGCCGTGGGCACCATGAGATCATCTTCTCATTGTGTTTGGCTTCTTGGACCCTCTATAAATGACACTGTCCATTTTTGGTCCTCAGTAGGGTGCCTGGGCAGAGCTAATTTAGGGTGGAGCTGGGTCAGATGACAGAGGATTAGAGGTTGTCTGGGCTGGGCCCTTTGGGGGAGGGGATGTTTGGGGAGAAGGGACAACTGGAGTGGGGGGTGGAATCTGGCCTGCTCTTGCTGAGGTCCACTGCCCGGAAGTCCTCACAGAGCTGCCTGAGGGAGGCTGGCCTTGTGCTGGGGGGCTGGGCCAATGGTGAGCACAGCAAAAGGCTCTGGCAGAGGTGGGAGTGTGTACTCTGTCTGTGCCCCTCGGTGCTTCCTGAGCCTGCTGAGAGTGGGGAGGCCCAGCGGGGAGCGGTAGAGCCCAGGGCTGTTAGTGGACAGCGCAGCGCTGGCATGTCTGAGCAGACGTTTACCAGAGGGAAGGTGCAATGGCAGTTTTTTACAGAACCATGACACATGGCCAGGATGACATCATGATGATCTGGTGGTCAAGGGCTAGCTCCTCACGCAGCATCCATTTTGGCCTCCTCAGTTGGAGTCAGGCCTTTACAACCAATCCTTATTCTCACAGCAGCCTCAAGTAGCCACAGTGCACCAAAGAGCAGGCCTTTGAAATGGGGAGCCCAGCAGGTCTGTTGGAGGTCCTCCAGAGCCCTAGGATCCCCTCACCTCCCCACTTCTAGGCTCCAATTCAAAGTTACTTCCCTCCATTCATTCTCAGTTTCTCTTTCCCCTTGGCATCCATTTCTCTGTCCTTGAGTGTCTGAGGACTCTTCCTGCTTATCCCCCTCATCTGCGCCCCCACCCCCAGTCTTTTCCTTGCTCTCTTTCTCTGTCTCCCTGGTCTGTTTCCTCTGAGCTTGTACAAGCTTTTCTGTACCTCTCCAGTCTCAGATCAGCTTCTCTCTGAGCAACCAGTTATTGATGTACATGGTTCATCTCATTTGCTGGATAGAAGGCTCCTAAGCTGGACATCATCTCTGGGTGGGGTGTTTATGGGGGATTGCTGGACATTTGGCTGAAGATTTGGGCGTGGAGAGATTAGAAGCCTGGCCTCCAATCTTCCCTCAGCCTCAGCAAGCCCTGGGTGGGATGGGGCCTGAAATGAGCTGAGTAGAGTTTAGTGGCTCATGGCAGGGCTCAAAGTGAGGCAAAGGCTGTTTCGCCCAGGGGCCTACAGAGGAGGTGACCACACTGGGCTGCATGGGGGAGTGGAGAAGGTGTTCCAGGAGGGACAGATATGAGCCAAGGTTTGGGCTGAGAGTAAGGACGTCAAGGCTGTCAGTTCAACTGAAAAGAAGGGGTGTAGTATGTTGGCGTGGTGAGGTGGGGTGGTAGGCAGTAGATTTGGGTCAGATTTGATGCAGAGGAATCTGTCTATCCAGTGGATTCTCAGAGAAGCAGAGCCTTGAACTCTTCTTCTGCAGTCTTCACAGATGATCCCATCAAGGCCCCTTTTCACCTTCACTCTGGCATCTGTCCAGGCCTTGCCCTCAGACTAGGCTGTCCAGCCCAGCTCATCCTTTACAAACTCTGTGAGTTGAACAATGTGAGAAGAATGCTTCTGTCCCTCCCTTCTGCCTTAACCCAAGCTTGGGCCTCATATGGTTCTTTTCCCAAGGTTCCAGAATCCCTGGGCCCTTCTCTTGGTGTTAGGCCTCTGTCTCACCAAAGAAGAAGAGAGTATGTGCATGGGCTCGGCAGGAGGGTGGTCCTGGGTTCCCTGTGAGTCAGGACTTTGGGCAAATTACAGGACCTTCCTGAGCCCAGTTTCTTTATCTATAAAATGGGGATAATAATGGTTCCTCTTCACATGTTCGTTGTGGAGTAAAGCCTTAGATAAGTGCCCAGCACATAGCAAGTGCTCATTAAATGCCAGCTCTGGGGCAGAGCAGTGCGATTGAACCCAAACTGGAGCCCATCTTCCCTGCACGGGCCTCTTCTCAGTCCCTCTCCCTAGAGTGTCCATTACAGTCTTCTGTAGACAGCTAAT